GACCTTGAATTTAAAAGTAACTCCATGACTTCTAAAACCTGCTGGTCCAAAGTGGTCAGCTATCAGACAAAACACAGCGGGATACTGGTGCTGTCCGTCAGGGGCACTTACCCTGGAAGTTGCAGGTCTAGCGCCCCTCGTGGGTTAAACTTACGCAGTGTTGCTTTTAACAAACAACATTATCAAACAATGTCACCGGACATCTCCGAATATGAGCCACAAAACGGTCTTAAATCAGAAGCAACAGGACTTTTCTGAAGACCTTTCAACACCCATCCAGAAGACTTTGTAACTTCTGTCGGCTCGCATAAAGCAATCTGTAGTTGGAGAGCTGATGTTTTTAAACAACCTTGAGGTCCATCCTCCTGAGCAAATTGCAGGACAGATGCAAATCAAAGACTAACCCGTCGTTTTCCTGGGTTTTTGAAGACTTGCATATATGGATTTTGTGTTTGGCCATTTGATCATGATCACTTTTGTCTTTGGGGTTATTCCAGGACCAAATTGTTGATGCTTTTGGGCTAAAATCTTTTGTTCTTCGACTATAAAAATGTTAAGATTTTGAACAGAGAGGAAAGATGGTTTGAAAGCGGGGTAAAGGAAGCCATATTGGTTAAAAGAGAAAAGCCATAACTGAACATAGGGGGAAGATTGCATTTTCAGGCTCCAAGCATTTACATTTCAGTCCTGGAACTCATTCAAACCTGTCGGCTCAGACAAGGGCTGACAAAATTCACAAAGATTCCTGGATGTGTGTTGATTTCTGAAAAGTTAAGCCTCTTATGTGGTTGCCTATAAGGGCGTAACGATTTCAGGAAGAATTACTTTACCTGCATATGCATGGAGATTTGCCTGCGTCCGTAGTCAGCCCTGCTGTAGTCGTCACTGTAGCTGTGTGAGTGGATTATGCTGGGCTGACCCAGGTGACCGTCCCGGGTCCTGAGGGTGGACAGATCCTCACTGCGAGAGAACCCCCCGTGGGCGAACTGTGGGATGTAGGCCGGATGAGAGGGCTCGGGTTCAGGGGTCAGGAGCAGAGGTGCTGGGGGTTGAGCCCGGCTGTGCTGGTGATGGAGCTGTTGCTGCGGCCCGTCAGCCGTCGCCAGATGAAACAGGGGATTCTGGAAGGAAAGCGGGTAGCGCATGGCGGCGGCCTGGTGTTGCTGCTGCTGGGATAGCGAGTCGGTGGTGGTGCCCATCTGGCTCAGCTGGCTCAGCCGGAGGCCGCCTGACATGCTGGAGCCGCCGGAGCCAGCTGACAACCTCCCACCGGCCCGCAGCTGGCTGCTCAGGCCCGACCCCAGGCCGCCACCGCCTCCGCTGCTCAGCCCACCGAAGCTGCCCATACCGGCGATGGAGGCCTGGGAGGAGTTGAGCATGTCCACCGACTGCAGGTTAGACACGCTGTTCATTCGGGAATCCTGGAGGTCCATCATAGATACGCTTTTATTTACACTGAGACACCTAAATAGTACGGGACATGAGATGCTAATGTGCCCCCTTATATTTAAATGTTAGGTGGGCACGGATGATATGGGTGAGGGTGGTGCGGGTGTTTTACCACGAGGTCTGTCAGGGTATCGGAATGCCTGAAAGTATTTCCCAGGAAATACCGCTAGAATGAGTTGCATGGTGACTCAGTGGGAAAAAAGCAAATGTCATGATAAACTAGAGCCTCTGTACGACCATTGCAGACTCTTCCAGTATGACTAACATGCATGTCATACTAACCTCACTAACTGGAGAGAGATTACCTAGCGGATGAGATGATGATGCCCGTGGTTCGGCAAGATGAGACTCACCTTAGCGTCTGGTTCCGTGATGTCGGAGCTGCTCGTGCAGTACGCCGGGCTGGATCGGGCCAGAGGGGGTCGGGAAACGTAAAACATGTCTTTGGAGGCTCGGTGAGGATGATCGCGGTCCTGAAAACTCAGCTGGGAACGGGACGGCATGACCCCCCCGGTGGAGGTGGGGGAAGGCAAACGAGTGATATCTATGGAGCTGGAAAACAGGAAGGAGTAAAGCCGACAGGATGGATCTGGAACATTCTTTTAAGTTCAGCTGCTCCAAATCTGTGGTATTCTGGGAATATTCACTCAACACTTTGTCACAAACATCTTTTCAAACAATGAAATGTCACTTCTGCTACGATCATTTACTATACATGCAGCCCCACATGAAAACTGAAACATTTTCATCAGCTACACTGGAAAAACGATCTAGAAATAGGTAAAAGGTTCTTAAATGAGGTGTATTTACCCTTAATACACCGTATCTATGTATTATTGAGGTATGGAGAGAATTTTGTTCCGTTATTGTCCCATTAAAGAAACACATTTTGTGAATGGAAATTAGAAAAAAAAAAACACACTTTGCAAAATGAAATTTGAAAAGAAACATGCTATCCAAAAAACACGTTGCTATCCAAAAATGCAAATATTTTCATATGTGCAGCTAAAACACAGACAGACGCAGGAGTAAGAAAATAAAACTTTACTATGGCGAAAAGAGAAGTTGGAGACGGATTGGAGTTTGAAAATGACAAGAGTAAATACTGAGGACAAAAAGCAAGATCCGATCTGTCCTGAAAATGATCATCTGGTAAAAAAGTAAATAAATATTTACATCTTTCACACCTCAGACAGCAGACAGCGGGAACTTTTCTCTTCACATGCACAGCACAGGTGTCATTTCAACTAGTTTCAAGAGGGAGTGAATGCCTGCAAAAAATCAGCAACTTGTGCTATACGACAGATAATTAGGGCAATTCAAAGACAATAAAAAAATTGGAAGTAAAATTTTTGAGTTTAAAGTGGCATATTTACGAGAACTAACATGCACATTTAAGACATTCTAAGCATGGAAATTTGGAAGAAAAATGTACCAAATTTAGAGAATAAACATCTAAATTTATGAGTAAAAACACCCAGACTAACGAGATTTACAAGAAAAAAGCATGCAAATTTAGAAGAAGAAAGCAAGCAAATTAAGAGAATAAACATGTAAATTTGCGAGATTATAGAGACAAATATAGAGGGAAACAAGTAGCAAATGTACCAGAAAAAATTTGTAAATTTACTTGATTATAAAGATGCAAATTTAGAAAATTTATAAGAACAAAAATCCAAAATGACAAGAAACAAACATGAAAATTTTTGAGATTCTAAGCATTCAAATTTAGAAGAAAAATGTAGGAAATGTATCAGAATAAGCATGTAAATTTACGAGAAAAAACAAGCAATTTTATGAGATTATAAACATGCACATTTATTGTATCATTAATTTTCACTTTAAAAACTTACATGAGGAGGCCATTGTAGCATCTCATTCAATTACTAAAGCCCCCCAATTAATGATGGATTTGCATGTGCTTTATGTAGCATACCTCAACATGTATCATAATCTATAAACTGTTCCGCAAATGTCCATGTTTAAACTTGCAAATTTGCTACTTTTTCCCCCTAAATTTGCTATTTTTTTTTCTTATTAATTACCTACTTTTTTGTCTTATATTTGCATGGTTTAATCTAGTAAATATGTATGTTTTTAATCGTAAAATTGTGTTTTTATTCTTATCAATATGCCACTTTAAAATCGAAAATTAAAATTCCAATTTTTTGTTTTCGTCTTTGAATGGGCTTTATACGCTGGTGTAATTGAATGTGATGTAATTCAATGTGCTGTTACAAACTGTGACAGATAGTGACTTCATATCTGTCAAACCATTTTAAGAACATGTTGCCTTTTGTACTTGTTAAATTTATTTGGATAAATCCAAGGCGGTAAGTAACTATTAGTTAACTTGCATTGCATTTTTATCCTGCTTTGGCTTTAGAATTATAAAATAGACTTTTTGTAATGTTTAACCATTTCTAAAAACGATATATCCACGATTACACCCCACTGATACATAAGCGTTGACTGTATAAATGTTCCTACCTGTTCAAGTCCCTCATCATGAGATTCTGGAACTCTGATGAGATCCCTCGGTTAAAGCTGGGTCGAGACAGCAGCCTGTCTGTCTGTCTGTCCTGCACCCTGTCTGTCTGATGGCTCGGCTGCCGCTGGAGGTGAGGGTTACGCAACGCCATGCTGATGTCATTCAGGAGGCGGGGCAAAGGACCCAGCTTGATGATGGCATCCTGTAGCCAGAAGGAGAAAACTTCAGAAAGCTGCAGGAGTGTTTTTTTTATACCAAGAAAAATCAACATTTGAAAGCATATAAAATATTTATGCTCAATCTAAATGTGATAGAGTAAAAATGCTGTAAGCTGTTTGGTTTTTATTAGTGATGGGCCGTTATTGGGCCACCACTAACTATAGTGTATATAGTTGATAGTTCACCTCGCAGGTGCATGACCAGCGGTGGAGAAAGCTGCGACAGATGATAAATTCATCAAGGGGACGTGTGTGTCAGATTTTTGGAGACACTCTATTGTTAAAGAGGGACAATCTATAACTGGAGGTGGGACACTCAATGTTTTGCAGCAAAAATACAGTAAAAAATGAGCAAAAAAAATAAAGTATTTAGAACTTTGTCAAAATCTTAAGTAAGAAGACGAAATCACGTGTGTGCAAACACAAAAAGTAAACCTTTTCTTTAAAATTCTGGAGGGAGCACATACATAACATCAATGCCTTTGGCAGAATTCAAATGAGCAAGTTTAATCTGGATTAATCTAGACTAATTCCAAGATTACAGTGAGATTAATCTAGGTTTAAAAAAATAATCTATGCTCACCAGTAGTTTTTATACATTCCAATAAAATGTTGTCACTTTTAAAAAATCAAATCAAATCGAATGAAATTTATTTGTATAGCCCTTTACAATAGCCAAATGGTACCCAAAGTGCTTTACAACAAAGCCATAAAAAAAACAATACATAACACATATAAAAAACATACAAGATACAATTAAAAGTGCTGTAGTGGTGCAGCGCTGCAGGACATTAAAAGC